CTCCAGGTATTTAGTGGTGTAAGCTGTTTTTTTCCTTTTCCATTTCTCTTCTTTTTTTCTTTTTCTTGTTTTTTGCCAGCAGCATTAAGATGGTGTCTTCTGAGAGCCAAAACTCAGCATTTCAAATATTGATCTTTCTCCTGTGTTGAACTAATTCTTCATGATTCCTCCACAGAGTGGGCCAGCAGAGCTCAGAGGTTCCCAGAAGTCAGTCTACCCAGCAGCATCAAACACAGCTGGACTCCATATTTATGGTCTGTACATGTACAACAACTATTCTATTCAGTCATTTCTCAAAAAGAACGGCTATTTATACTTCAAACATATTGCAAGTATTAGTTTTTCGTAGTATTAATTGCAAGATAAGACAAGTTAGAAGCACAACTAAACACTGTTTCAAATAAACAATGAGCTTTAGCAGCTGGGCTGGTCAAAAAGATGTGTTTGTAATTTTATCTATACCCATGACCACCTTGACACATATTGCTACAGACAGGTCCTTTAATTTTTGGCTGTCATGATAGTGTCTAATAAACTATGTAAGCTGGATAAATGATTGGAAAACTTTAGAAAAAGTTATTTATCATATTATTATAGCATTTATTCCACTCTAAACAATGCAAAGTTGAGTTATCTGATCTCAGAATTTGATTTATTTTTTTGCTTCTTTTTTTAAACATTCCAATTTAACAACCTCCCTTGAACATACTGACTACAATTACCATGATGTAGCAATATTCACTCTGTTTCCAGAATCAAAATATGCTGTGGACTGCAACAGAAATATGACTATGACAACACCTTCATATCCCCTGGCTATTTCTGTCTGTTGTTCCTGGTCTCCCTCTGTTCATTGTTCCTCTCTTCTTCCACTGCACCACCAGTTGAGGTTGTAATGTAACATATTAATTGACACAATACTCTATTCCAGCTACTGCAGGACAACATCATCACTTTTGTGAAGAATGAACTGAAGAAGATTCAAAAAGTTGTCAGTCCAGATTATCTGAAATACTTGGAAGGTCAGAGAACGGTTGAAGAGAAAGTGGGTGAGGACGAGGAGCAGAGGAATAGCAGCAGAGAGGCATTTGTGAAGATCACATTGGACTTTTTAAGGAGAATGAAGCAGGATGAGCTAGCTGACCTTCTGCACAAGAGTAAGAGGATTTCTATAAAGATTTAAGCTGCTGGTTGAACAGGTTGTTTACTATGTCTAACCCTAAAGTGATAGTCAAACATAAATATAAAAATTCTGGACTGATATTTGTTGTCTATTCTGCTGTACAATGATGCGAATGTTGTTGTGATTTGGCGCTATATAAATAAAATTGAATTGAATTATTCTTTCTTTTAGGAACTTCTAATAGAGACGTCTATTGGAGTGAGTGTAAACTTAAATCTACACTGAAGAAGAAGTTCCAGTGTGTATTTGAGGGGATCGCTAAAGCAGGAAACCCAACCCTATTGAATCACATCTACACAGAGCTCTACATCACAGAGGGAGGGACTGCAGAGGTCAATGATGAACATGAGGTCAGACAGATTGAAATGGCCTTCAGGAAACCAGACAGA